AGAAATCAAAGGAAGCTGACATTACGGACCTATTATTATTTATCGATGATATGCGTTGGTGGAATTACGTCACGGTCACTGACACGCGTATTTAACTCACACGTGTGACAGCACAAACACGCTCTAACGACGACTTAATTAAAGCGTTTAGCGATGGCTGACATCTATGTTCGCATAATTGCGGCAGCGCCGTTAAACATTTCGCGCTAAAATGCATGGGGAAGCGATACACGCGGTGTTACATTATCCGTCATATGCTATGCATTTATTCTACGAAATAATCGCGAAACGCGAGCACGCAAAGTGTAATATATTTAGTTACGGAAAAGAGCATTGTAAGTTAATATACGTGTAAAGAATATTATTTACAAAAAAAAAACATCTTGCATATAAAACGTCGAGTGAATCCAAAAATTACGGTTGGAATAAATATTTTACGACGCTTGTTTATGACATGCAGACCGCACGCAACTGCACTAAAATAGGAAATACGAGAATTAGCCAAAAAGGTTCCACAAAATTATTATTAAAATACAAATACATATTAACAGAATTCAAACAACAGTTCTTCCTTTATATTCTTCAATGTGATTCCTGCAGCACAAACCGACAACTTTCCAACTACTCGGTAAAAAATTTTTTTAATTGAAAAGCATAGCAAATACGTAAAAAAATAAACTATTGTTTGAGTTTATATAATAAATACTTGTTTTTTTAATAATAACTGCGGAAAGTTCTTGACCCATCCTAACATTTTGGATACAGTCAAATTTTTAGAACACTATAGAGCAAGATACATTTAATTATTTTAAGTAAGTTCTAATCATAGAACTTAAGTGCCAATAGAACTTGCAACAGTGTCGTTGAAATTTATCTGAAATATCATCGTATCTCGTCGTGAAACACGCATATCAGACAATGTATCCGTTCTCAACATATGTCAATATTCTACATCTGATGTGCGAGGGAACATGACTTCGCAATCCCGGTAAGCTTGTGCAAAATCACGTTATCAGTGATGAAAGTCAATGATTCGCGTGGTAGGTCAGACGTAATGTCGAGGAACCAAGTAGTACGACCGTAAAATTAAGCAAAGAAACGCGTGAAAAAGTATCGATAAAAATCGAGTCGTTCCAGCAAATCGTATTAACCTCAGCATTATCAGATCAGTAATTACTACCTACTTCACCTCTACTGATCAATAATAGTTATATATAATAATAAAACTTGTGAAATAATAATTGTACTTTATAATTGTATTGATTTAATAATCATATCCGATTGTGAATACGTGATTATTTGTTGGAACTAAATAATTATTCGCTTGTAATGTCATTAGATTTAACATTTCTCCTTTGTTAATAATATTAAACAATGTACAATTTATGAATAAAAGTCAAGAGAATAATATATCCAAACCGCTATTAAATATCCAATTAGCTCCACGCGAGCAGCAATGGATCTTTTTCCGTCGAGTCGACAGAATGAGAAAACATTGACAGTGCAATTAAGTAAATGGGACGAAGAGAGTGGTTTTCTCGTCGGCTAGCGAGGAAAGATTACCTCTTTACGATAGCCTACAAATTGAAGAAGAGGCATCCGAAAAACCCGCCGTTCCATGCTGTGGTCAGCATTTAACTTGCTTGTAAAAGTATTCATAATGTCTTAATAAACGTTAAATGTGAGCAAATTTCTATAGAAGTTACCGGTATAAACTTTATTCCATCGTGATGACCGGGATTTAAATTTTCTGTTATTCTCGTCGAGAAAAGTTACACGTTATTGATTAACGCTATACTGTAACTATACTTTGAAAGTGAACAAGAATTATACAGAAAAATAATGCTTTGTTTTGTCAGACAAGCCACACACGCGATATTATAATATCCGCAATAGGAAAAATGTAATATTAATATTTACATATAATATAAAAAATAATTTAATATATAAAAAAAACATTTGTTAATTTTGTGCGTCGTGACTAATGAATTAATTTAATCAATTCTTTGCTGTCAACGTAATTCAGTAATTCATCACCAAATTTTTCCAAACAATAATCAGTGAATTTCTATATAATCTTTCAAAATCTCTATAAAATTTTCAGTTGATATCTTAAATCGATTAAAATAAAAATGACATATCTTATATTTGATTATGTCAAAATAAAATCAAACCGCACAGGTTTGTAAAAATAATTGAAGAAATTACGTTCCAATTCTGTTTATGAATTTCGCGCTGAGTTTAAAATTAACACACGTTATTTTATTGAAATTATCGGACTGAGGCAGTTCAGCACATGAAGTAATTCGGCACGTCAATGTCGCTGTATTTCCACATTTAGCCCTAGTATGTTGCACGCTGTCGCAAATATCCGCGCCGCTGTCGCGAACAATGAATAATTTATTCTTGCACCCATAGAATTCGGCCGAAATTTTGCGCAAACACCATACGCACGCACGCATAAATGCGTGTCGCGGGTAATGCATTCACGCGAAAGGAAATATTTAACGTGTGTGTGTGTGCGTTGCCGGGTGCGAACGAGCGATAGTCCTGCTAAAAGCTAAATATACTTATGCACAAACATTGGCGGAAAATATCATTTAACGCGCAACTTACATTGCGATTATTAATATCAACGACTTTCGCCCAGCCGGTGAGAGGAAAATGATTTACTGATGAAACACGAACGCCCATCAGCGCGACGTGCGTGGAATTCCGCGATAAAGGTGAGAGTGCCTCGTTCGAGGAACATGTGGTCGGTATTTTCAGGCTTGCCCGATATGGAAACCTTTGCACGCTCATGTCGCTGAGAAATAGTTTTTCCGATACAAAAATAAGAGACAAATAAGAGGGCGCGTATCATGGCTTCCGCTCGGCTTTAAAGTGATAAGCTGTCGCGAAAACAGAAAACACGCTTTTTAATTTACGTTGCTTTACAAATTTTCTCGCAATTTTTATGATAAATTAAGGTACTTATTTAGAGACTATTTTGAAGCAGTCCGACATTACTCGCGTCTTTTTTACATTCAATACTAAGCATCTTGGTAATGAAGCTTAGACTTAATATTCCGAGAAAGTAAAGTCCGTTTGTGAATTTCAATGAACGAGAAAGTTTTGTTAATTTAATTCCGCCACGGAAACTTGGTTTTCGCGAGAAGTTCTTTATTTCATCAATCGTTTATAAAACTGTTTGTATCTCGTCATTTTAGTTAAGAAAAAAGCGACTGTTAAATGTTGAGAAAATTTGTTGTTAAAACTAAAACCGAGTAACTTGCAATTGTTCTCTGTATACGCATTTAGATTTGTATTTTCGTGTACTTTACGACATCGGAATCTGTCAATCCGTTCTTTGGAAAAGCTCATTGCATCGATAGGAAAAGTATTGTTCGTAAGTTGCTTTTACTGTGTACGTATTTTTGTGTATGTTGCTGACATTTTTACCGCGTTTCCAGCTATCAGCGTGGACAATACGAGACTTAATAAAACAATTTTTTCGGTTTCGCTACGAATTTGTTTGGTCAATCGATCAAAGAACTGTGCTACGTTGTATTTTCTCTCCTCGTTCCTTTCTACATTACTTTTCCATCAAATTAAGTTTCACACTCACAAAGATAATTGAATAATATTTTGTCAATAATTATAATAAAATTAAAAATCAAGAAAATTTGAATATAATTTGACAAATGTTAAATAAAAAAAAAACAAACAAGCGAGTCATTGCAATGTAGAAGTGCGAAAACAGTGCGTACACTTCACAAGAAATGTTTACAAACATTTCGACCTATAAGATCATAATGACAGTGTTGTGTTTCGCACTTCTTCCTTGCGTTGGCTTATTTACCTTTTCCCTTTCTGCATAAAAGAAAATCACAGTTCACGACACACTTTATTCATAAAACACAAACACATAATGCAAAATTTTAACCACCAGTTTAATATTAAGTGATAAAATATTAATAGATTAATCTCGTTTTATACAGCAGAGAATTTTAATCGAAGGCAACCAATTTAGAGAATCAGAAACTTTAATATTTTATTACGGCTTGATATTTAGTATGCGTTTTCGAAATTGATCGGCTATTAGCAGATTAATATAATTTTAAATAATATAATTTCAATATCTTTATTTTATATAAACCTTGAATAATTGACATGCTAGTATAAAATTCATAATATAGTCATAAATATAAAATATTGAAATTTCTGAGTATTGAATATAATTGTATTAACCTACTGATATTTCCTTATTGAATATAAACTGGTAAATCAAATCTTAACATTTTTATACTTCACATACTACGAAATATATATTTATCATTGCAGACAAAATAAATATTCAATTACTTTTGTGAATGTAAAATTTGATTTAGTTGGAACATTGAAAAAGATAGGAAAAAATATGATACAAGAATTTTGTAATCGATCGATCAAATAACTTATAGCAAAACCAAAGAAATAATTGTATATCCAGAATTTTCAATTACTAAATAGAATAAAATTGCATAAAATCATAAGTTTATAATAAGAATTAATAATATAAATTTAACAAAATTTCATAAAAAATAATAATTCAATGATGTGAAAGAATACAAACTTCAAGGATGATATAGAATTCACAAATAAATCAGAAAATTAAAAACAATAGTTTATGTTTTTTGGAAATCAGATGAGAATATACAACGCTAATAGAGTAGAAAAGATACGCAAATATAATCTATCCAAAAATAAAGATATAAATATTACAATCATGCTGATTATAATAATGTTAGTGGATAATTATAAATTGGCCTGAAGCTTAAACGAACAATTTGATGTGTAAATATGAGGATGTGTAAATTGAGATGTAAGCTTACAGGATACGCGGCCAAGCCGAGATTCATCACCTCGATTTCCGGTCATCGGCGGGCTTCGATTTAATCGCCCTGACTGCCCAATTAACCCACGGCCTCGTGTGTCGCGCGAGCAAAAACGTCAGATGAGAGGTAAATAGTTTCACTTACCCTGCCTGTATCTATCCCGTCGTCGCAGATCACTAGGTATTCCAGCACCTCTCCCTCCGAGTCGACGAAGGGCACAGAGAATCACAGTTCACGAGAGGAAGAGATATGTGCGACGGGCGATGACGGCGACACGTAACCGCGAGCGAGCGATCATTCGCGGATTCGGGTGATTTCTTCCGGGCGTCTCGGCCCTCTTCCTCCGTCAGTCGCCACTTACGGAACTCCCCTCAGACGATCCCCGCGATCCCGGAGCTACGGGCCGGAAGTAAACGCGTTCGCGATGACGATAATAACGAGACGGCGATGACGATCCTCGAGCCAAGTACACTCACACGTTTCGCGTTGCGCATGTGTATACATATATCTATCTATCTATCTATCTATCTGTATATCTTTTATATATATCTTTATATATGCATCTCAACGGGATTCACGACATTCCCTTTCCTCCTCCCTCTTTTCCACCATGCACCCTCGCGACAACTGATTCGTTACTTTCTTGCGTCGTTCTTTCTCTCGATCTATCCTTGATCCGCCCTCTCGTTACCGACTCGCTCGCTCTCGCTCTTTCTCTCTCTCTCCCTCTCCCTCTCTCTCTCTCTCTCTCTCTCTCTCTAACTCTCTCGCTCTCTTTCTCTCACTTTATCGTCCTTTCTTTCCCTCTCTTCGTTCGTTCTGCAACTAGGATAAAATGATATGTATTCGTTCGCAACGGCGATCCCCGAAAACCTACGAAATTGCTGTGGCTGACTCGACGTTCGCACGATCACTGGGCCGGCGATCGAGCGCGTCTGATATCACCCAGCCGCCCCCGTAACATCCGTCCGTCTCGTCGCTTGATTTCCCTCCCTTGCTGCTGGTTCCGTCTGTTCCGTGTCTTTCTCTCTCTCTCTCTCTCTCTCTCGCCTTCTTGCTCGCGCGCTCTCTCTCTCTCTCTCTTTTTCTGTCTTTCTCTCAAGCGGAGACCCCGTTGCACGCCCCCGCGACTGTTTTACTCACTATTTTATCTGTACTTGTCTAAAACTAACGGATAATGTACTCCTCCGATGGCACACACACAGCTAATCCCTCTATACTCGCACTCGACTACCACGGTGTGTGTATATGCTAAACCCCAAGTCACATTTTAAGTACGACAACGACGACGCACGGGTGCCGACCGTGGGGTTACACTCTCTGCCTCTCACGCTGCCGCCTCACCCTCTTGCGCCCCGGTCGGCCGACGCGTCCCCACCCGTCGTAGAAGCATCCCCACCAGGGGATGGCGCTCGCCCTTGACGCGACACCCCAACGCACAGTAGCGGATTCCATGAGCGAAAAAATCTAACTCTGACCTCTATAAATGTGTGTCAGCTATTTTTGCGAATTGTTACACATTTTGGTACTATTTCGTTGCAATATTGAAAAATGTGAGATAATTCAATAAAGCTTTCGCACTCGATCGAGAATTCTAGAGAAGATATTGAATGCACTATTTTTGCAATTACAAAATAGAGAAAAAAAGCAAAACTGCGAAAAACTGGTGAAAAACTGAAAAGTTAATAATAAATCACTAAAAAAACAATACAGTTAATATATCAGTTATAGGTGCGCAGTATTGATTAATATAATACGGGAATTAAATTTGATAATCTGAGATCCTGATGTTATAAAAACAAAATTGCCATTACATGTCTCTTATCGCTTCGTATTAAGCTGGTTTAATATTGTTATAAGTACTCGGGCTCCTCCGCGAGTGACACATCCCTAACACAACACCCCTTATTTCCTGCTCACAAAATTGCAGTAGCGGAATTCTATCGCAAGGTTCGCGTCGCTGGAATTTTTATAATCATTGTTAAGTGCTTTCTGTAGTATTACAAGTACAAGTTAGTCCATAAATTATTTATATTTCATAATATCCTATATTGCGCACGCATAAAATGTTACATAAATTAATGTTTAGTGTGCTAATAATACGATATAAGTAAATTCCAAACAAATTCAACAGTTTGGTTTATATTTCTTGAATTTTACTCCGTATATTTTTCTACTAAGCAGAGAGGGAAAGAGAGAGCATTATTTTTATATCAAGTACTAAATTAAATAAGTTATAAAACATGAAGGGATAATTTTTTATTAACACGAAAGATCGTGGAAATTTGTAAGCGTGTTTCATGCGGCATTTCTTGCGTCATGTCACCGTCACGCTTGCGTTTCCCTCTTCTTCGTCGATCGACGATAACGTCGACTTTGTCGTACGTCACTGAACCGCCACCCCTTACGCGAGGAATTATACCCTTTCTTTTCTCGCCGTCTTTCCCTCCACTGTCGCGCAGATCGCCCCTGATCGCTCCCGACTCCGGATTCCCACTCCTTCCCTTCCCCTACTCTACATAGAGACGAACTCAATGGTATAGCCGCGGATCGCTTATGGTATCTAAATGCCCGACGCCAAGAGCGACGTGTCTGATATAGGTGAATGGACAGAATTCTCGTCTCTGTTCTACGGCGACGAGACTCCGTGCCGCTATATCGCGCACATTCAGGGATTGTTGTTGCGAGAGCGGCCTCGTAAAATCAAGGATCCGCGCCAGACACTGCACCATAGCGGAGAGGTGCCGCGGAGAAGATCCGACCATAACTACGTCTGCACTAGTGATACTCACCGTTTGTTACCGCGCTACCGGCTATATTACTGCGATATCACCGGATTATTACGGCCCGATTATAGACTATAAAGACCATGATTTTCTATAATTTCAGATAAGCTAACGACAGTCTACTTCTACGTGACTGATCCCATCTCTGTAAATATCAGACAGCGTTATCCAAGTTCTAGCTAAGTCTCTGTTCTTCTCTCTCTATTCCATCTAACCGACATTAACTCGTTAACATTTATCGCGACAATTCTACGTGTATTAACGAACAAGTTCTAGGGAGACCAAGCGACGATTTCTCGGAAAACCACTTTAAACGTACAGCAAGTTTGCTATACGTCGCCCCAACTCGCGCGATACGCGGAAATCGTGCGTTACCGGAAGTCGCATATTTCGAGAGGGTGGAAAGAGAGAAAGGGAGGAGAGAAAATAGGGGTAGGTCACCCCTCTCGCATCCCCTGGCCGCGAGCTTTCACGAGCTACTATTCCCCACTCGGGGGATCCGTTCTCCTACCCGGCAGCCGTGAGATTCTCCTATTGACGTACCCACCGGCCCATCCCCGGATACCCCTCATCGTAGGTTGCCTTCCCCCCTCCACGTGCACAGCCGCCTCCATCCCTTCTGACGCTCCATAGCATGGTCTGACGTAACGCGACGTTACGTCAGACCGCCCTCGCAGGCCGCTGCTGCAACGGGTGGTCTCCGGATACTCACACACTTACATAACTCGCGCACACACGCGCGAGAAACGTCGTTCTCTCTGCGCGACGGCGTTTCTTATCGCCGCAACGCGGTGCTTCTTTATAATCTCGACCCCGCCTTCCCGATGTTGCCTTCGCGAGTAATACGCGGCGCGCAAGAAAGCACGACGTGCTAGACAAAGGCGGAGAAAAAAAAAAGGGATTCTCTAACCATGAACGCCGGAAGAATTTTTTTCGAGAATCGATTTGAAACCTAATATCTTTGTATCGTATCTTTTATCTTCTATTCTTTTTTATGTAACTATGAGAAAATAAAAAGTATAAAATTTGTGTAAATAATTTTACATAAATTAATTTAAATCATTTTTCTACCAATAATGCGATTTCAAAAAGCATGTTATCAAGTGTTCGACGTTGGCACGCGAGAATATTCCATACAGTTTTGATTTACATTCGATTTCAACTGCAAGTCTTTCTTATTACACTGACGTATGTGTACCTCCTTTTGCTACCTTCGTAATTCTAGAAGCCGGTAGCTCTTAGAAGGTTTGTTCATTTTCCTGACCTCTATAGTTAGGGGTGACAGAGCCAACATAATCATTGTCGTAGGTTCGATTCTAGGAAATTGACTTCCGTGTAGACACAAGAGTCGATTTCGCATTAATGAATTCTTCGAATGACTATAAATTCTTGCCATATTCGTATATAGAATAATTCGTGTGAAACTCGTACAAAATATATTTCTCATTATTAAAACTTGCCATTTGCGTTTCAAGTTAAAAAGCGTTTTCGCATATTTACGCGTTTGCGCATATTTACGTATCTTTTCTAGTCTCCAGAAAGAAGATTATATTAGCCACAAAAGAATAAAACTTTGTGACTTTCTTAAAGATATCTATTCTTATATCACACACTTGTGTGTGCGAAATATATATGATTTAGATTTACGCATATAATATGTGAGAAGGCGAATTATTAAACATAATTGTTATTTCTTATACGATTAGTACGTTAGTAAAACATCTCAAAATGGCCGAAATTGGCCGAATGTATTAGCGCAGTTTTAAGTACAGCTATATGAAAAACATTGACGCACTTACTTGGCAAATCTACGATGAATCGATGCGTCTGTGAACGTAGAGCGATTCAGGTGGTAGCGGTTTGATATTGATTAACGTAAAAGCACACATGTTGTAAAAATCTTGCGAGAAACGATGATCTTGATCAAAGAATTACTTTGCGCAAAGTGTTTGAAGTTAGGCAGCAAACAGGCAGTAAATAGTGTGGCGCTGCTTTATTGTCAAGGTGGCGACATCTTCAATAAGAAATGTATATTATCTGCGCTGCTGGTAACCTAAAAATAATAATTCAATGAAGAATTATAGCGTTTTATGCGTGAAACGTTGGTAATACTGAAAATCTGATCAAGACCAATTTCGATACGTTACATTCAAAAACAACGTGCTTTGAAGACTGACAGCATCAACAAGATTGACAGCCCGGAGCCAGAAAGAAGAAGAAGAACCAAGATTGAGTGGTGAAAGAATTTGTGGCTGATATAAATAATTTTATTTTTATATGTCAATTAACTGAAAGGTAAATAATACACGTAATATTAACGAAGTGAGTTAATATTCATAAAGTATAAAAGCAAAAACTACTTCTATATCTAGTTTATAGATAAATGTTATAAACAATAATAATATAATATACATTTGTGTACTTATTTATATGAAATTAGAACATGCAACACTATAATTTCTGTAATAAAAATATATTATTTTCAGAGTATAATATATAATAATTTTTCCTAATTTCTTATTTTTCAAATATTTTGATTTATATCATATAAATCTTATCTACTTTTGTTATAAGATAAGAGTATATTAGAATATTGTAATATTTAATAATTAGAATATCATGTTTTCTTCCACAGGGACACACAATATCATGAATGAGGTTATAGATAATTTTGCATGGACTCGCCAACTCGAGTGTCCACCAACAGTATGCAATGATTCAGTGAAGAAAATGTATGACCATTGTTTTACCTATTTACTGAACTCTTACTACTATTGTGTTACATATTATTTTTATCTTTATCAGATTATGCAAGGGAGTACTGGAGCTCTTATGGGAAGACATTTCAAATTCTACATTTCCTATGACTGAAGCATTCAAAATAAGGAAGAATATTTTGGTGTACAAATTGAGACATGGATTGAATGATTCTACAATTGCATCTGTAAGGAATTTAAATCAGTTAAGGTCTAAAAGTAACATACTGAAACAACAGATATCTTTGCTAGAAGAGGAATATGAAGAACAAGATTACAATGTTAGACAAAAAAGTAAGAATAATCATTGATTAGTAAGATTTATAAAATAATTATAAAATTTATAAAAATTTTAGTGCAACGGTTAAAAGACATAAAGAACAAGTATTCTATGATTAGTACGAGAAAAGATTTTCTGAAATTAAAACATAATGAAACTAGTGAACAATTAAAAGATTGTAGTGACATGAGACGAATTTGTCAACATTTAATGCCAAATATTTCTAAGGACATAAATCAACAAAAATTGAGAGAAAATCTAGACATAGTAGCAGGATTACGTTCAGCCGAAAATAAAAAACAAGTAAGTATATAAAATATCATCATATAAAATAATAGTACTTATATATTGATAAAAAATGACATCACTTATGTACCAATAAAAATATTTTTTTAATATAAACAGATAAAAAGAAAAATATCAAACTCTCTTGGTCATATTAATATACACACACTGTGGACACATTTGTATCAAGCGCTGTCACAGGACTTGGACACGTTGAAGAAACTGGAGACTAGAAATGATTTTAATAATTCGACTTTAGTGGGTGAAAATATAGATATTGGTATCGCAAAAGCTTGCGGCCTACATATGTGTATGATGTCAAAACGAATATTATCTAATGCTAAGGCCAATATATATCGACAACGTTTAATTGAATTCATAGAATTAATAGAGGTAGCGTAAATTTTTCTACATAAAGCTGGTAAATTATTTAAAAAACAATAATTAACAAACAATATGAAATTAGAAATATATGATATTTTATCTTGAAATATATGATTTTATCTTGTAGTCATTATCCCATGATGATGTAATCACGTGGTTGGCTTTAACATTGGAGATAAAAAAGTTAGAAACCGAACAAACGTGTCTGCAAAATGAAGTTCAGAAATTAAAGAGCACCATCCAGGACAATTATTTGCTTAATCTCGATATAGCTCAACTAACGGCTGATATAGAAACGGTTGATGCACAGATTGTAAGTTTCAGCATGTTATACATTCTACATGTTTTTGATTCTAACATTTGAGTATGTTACAGGTCGGATATGTAAAAAACATTCAGCAGTCTATAGCCATTTTGAATTCTACGATATCGCTCATACTTAAAGCGAAAGAGAAGTTGAATTACGAGTCGCAGAAAATAGTGGCATTACAAAGCGATTACGGTCCGAAATGTACAAACAACGCATTGGACATCGAACTGGATATATTTCACAATACTTTAGATCTCAATGCTTTGCGAAAAGTAATGTTGAAAGGAGACGTGGGTTTATACAGGTTGGTAGAAGTTTTACGTGTGTTAAATTTTGCTTTCATATTTGTACGATTCTTAATATTGCACAAAACTTGTTACAGACACGCGATCTGTGGCATCGATAAAGCTTCCATCACGCTTCCATCTGCAATCAACCCACAATCGAGGATTAAATCTTATTTCCCAATGATACAGATACCAATTTACTGTCTCATAGAATGCTACAGAAACGCGATCGCCAATATAATTTATACGAAGTTACATTGTTCCGCGTCAACGGAGGATATCGAGTGCGCGGATAAATTAGTGTCATCGCGAGAAAAATGTAATTACAACAACCTGGAGCTATTATATCTCTCAAAAATGGCTTGCGATCAGGCGCGTGAAGAAATCAAGGGGTTCAACGCGATCTTAAGTGCTTGGTAAGTTACTATTATAAGATTTTGAGTCGCAGTTATTTCTAATTTCATCATATGACATTTAGGATAAATCAAGATGTGCAAGAAGCGATGGCGCTCATCGAAACGACCGTGGATGGTGTGTCTTTCAAAGATTGGTTACAGCGTTATAATTTAGTGTTGTACATGATACAAAATGGTAAATGATTCAAACGTGCATCTACCGTATCTTATCGCTGTTTATTTGTATAATATAACATGCCCAGGGAATTTTTATATATATATGATTTTTATATTAAACAAAGTTTGAAGGATTTTATTATATTTTGATATGTAAAGCTGCAATAAATTAAATGAATTCAATTAATGCATTAAAATACAATTTTACGAGGTATGATGACGGAAAAAGTGCTGCAAATGATAATAAAATGCATGAATAAAAACAGTATAAAGGATAAGTCAACAGAACGTACAATATTCAACGTACATGGGAGTAATAGACCTATATTTTTCTCACAAAAATACGTCACGTAATACACGTTAACCAATTGTATAATTAATAAATTTTTGTTAAAATACGACATAAAAATTCTCTCGAATAAGAGCACTTGGAATTTTCGCATATCGCTACCTACGAGACTGGCGGCCATAATTCGCCTTCGTCGTCCCCTTCGGCGAGACACTTGCAACAAAATAACTTCAAGTTCCCGGCCGAGTGGAAAAAAATGTTTGGCGGATTGTCCATACATTTCTTTCGTACCATACGCGCGCACTTGACACCTTTGTCGCTAAGCGCAATCTTATTTTTTAATAGATATCTGAAAAGAATTAATTGCCAACAGCTTCACATTCTTTTGGTTTCAGATATTTATACAGATTGAATTTCGAATTTAGACAATCGCGCAAACACTCGCGTATGGTACACGTATCGATTATTGCAAATTACAGTAAATCGTAATCAAAGAGCTCGTGATCGGTACACAACTCAAGTTATGTACTCGACAGTTGTTTTTCTCTATTTCAGTCAATAAGTGTCCAAGAATATATTTTCGTCTATTCTGAAGGAAGGAAAAATGTATAAATCCGGAATCTGGAAACGAGTTCTTCAATTACACATGCTATAATCTACGTTGCTTGAATTGCAAGACTCGAGAGCGTTCAAAAGAGAAAGGCAGTAATTGGACCGGAGCCCTCGAGAAGTCGAAAAGGCGCTCCTTTGACACTTCTTTTTTTTTCTTATTTTCTTATGTACGTAGCCGCAATTATAAAAATGATGCACTTCAGTGCGATTTTATTCATACAGCTCCCATCTCTTATACACATAAATTTATAAGTTAACACTTTGACCCCTGAACTTGGATTTTTTTTTTTTTTAATTGTCTCGACAGCACGAAACAACCATCGTACCTCGAACTCCTCTTTAGTATACAAAACTAGCCTACCTATATGTACAAGACGCTATGTAATTATATACCAGACGTGCGAAGCGAGCGAGGGAATATCCACCATTCTGATCGTCGCGGTTTTAATCCTTCAACTTGCAAAAGGAAGAATTAAAAATCTGATAATACAATTAGAAGCAAAAATGAAAATTAAACAGCAGGCATCAGCGGATGTGTATTCCAATAATCTTAATCGAGAAATAGAAAAGTTTAAAAGAACCGATATAGAAACTTCGTAAAATTTCCCAATTTTTATAAGTGGATACTCGACTTTTCAAACTGGGTGCTTTGCAGCCCCTTTTAATTCATTCGTTTTTCAATATTTCATACTTTTATCATTGTAAAAATAATGCGAGAAATGATTATAATTTAATAAATAAATATCGAATTGCTCCAATTCTGAATATCATTATTCGAATCCATCAATATCAAATTCCTTCCAGCTAAACATCCTGCGAGGACATTCTCAATATTTCACCTCTCACAGTCGAGGCACGCTGACGATTGTGAATGCGAACCCGCGCACATTTCGCGCGTTTACACGCGTTAAATAGTACAACCGAGACGGCGAGTGATCCGCAGCGAGCATCGGGCATCCGTGATGAGGGGTATCGCGACGCCAGGACCGATAACGGCACGGCGACGATTGTTGGCTGCTGTGGGTGCGTAAGGGAAAGCGGAAGGTCGAGTCCCTCTCGCGAGTCGACGTACACGATCACAGAGATCGGTCGCTGGCATTTCGAACCGATACTTTTGAGCTTTAAGTATTGAGCAAAGGCACGCCTATTTGCTTGAAAGGCACGTTAATGCGACCGTGTCCCTCTTACTCTTGCGTCAACGTTCAAGACTCGGATAATCGAGATACCAACGGTATCTCTGTGGTTTTATCGAATTAATTGCACAGATTGATTTTAATTTTATTCAAGTAGATTAAATCTATAAAAAAATTAATATTTCCTAATATAATTTATAAACTATATAAAATTGCAACTTTAAACTTAATAATTTTTTCAATCTAAAGCTTCTGACTCTCATTATAGTCCAGTGGACTGTTTCAAATTTGCAAATTCAACTTACTAATTATAGACTATATAAAATTCCAACTCTTCGAATTTTTTTATTTAATTATCTTCTTGAGGAATCATGACAATCCTTGTTAATATGCGTTGGAAATAAAACTTTGATCCTCGATAATAACGGGAGAACAATAGTGGGGGCAGGGGAGGGTCAATAAACTTTGACGTGACGATAACACACGCGCGATAATACGTCGTATTAAGATCGCGGATAAGACCGAAACGTCCGATCAACGACCGTGACTTTTGTTGCGAGCGAATTTCACATGCACCGATTCGCACCGGTCCTTTTGTGTTTATGTAACCGAGAAATCAAGCACCAACGTCCGTTCCTTCGCGATTCGATCGGTTAAGGTCACCGGACTCCTTTCGTCGAACGTGCGTCGAGTCCTAGGCGTCGTGTCTATTTACGCGGTGCACAGTCGAAAAATGCAAACGATCTTTCACCTAATTGTGTAACGATACAGTGTCGGATGACTATTGTGGGTCACCATTATCTACGTCCGTGTAATTTCTTGCTTTATATAACGCCAGGATCGCGACGAAGGAGCAGCGACTACGCGGATTCTCTACCAGAAAGCGCGCGGTTATAAAATCTTGGTATAATTTATTTTTACCAAAGCGAGAGGGAGCAAACTTTCCGACATTGTGAGAAAAAAAAAAGAGGTATCAAAAACAATCATGTAGGTATTTCCAGTTGCGAAAGCGGCGAAAAAAAAATGACATCGCGCTGATTTACTGTCGACTTGATAAAACCACCGGGCTTCCCAGACAGATAAATCCGTTCCATCGGTCGTTCCTCCACCGGTTTCTTCTCTGTGGCTTTCCCATGATCGTCAAACCTTTTTTTTCCTTTTTTTTTTTTAGTCAAAGTTGTCTGACTGCTTCAAATACGCAACAACCGACACGATCTTCCAGTGACAAATTAGAGAAAAATCTGCTCATTATTCAAATGGTGGAAATTATTTTGAACATCTACAAAAATTACGTTTTCTAATTCAACTTGTAGCGCTTTCAGATAAATGACTCTCTTTTCTCCCGCAATCGATCGATAATAATTGTCCTTGAAAGGTCGGTGCTCGCGAATATCACCCGTTGCCGGCGACCATTTACCCCGAGAACGGCGTAAATTATTGTCAAGACCCTCCTTAAAATTCGCAAAATTTTTTACGCGCCTTAGATGTTTCGAATGTCACCGCGTCCGAAACAAACAACTCGTTCTTCCCATTTCTCTCTACAGTCGTAGGAGCACTAGGACGATTCACCCACACGTCCTGCTGCGCCAATCGCCGAATTACGGTCGCGCGCAACCACTTCGCTCGAGCCTATCTGGAGCCTAGCTAAGATTAGCTGAAAAATCGCGTTGTAAAAAAAGTCATCAATGCATATTAATGCCATGCATATTCCGCGAATCGAGAAGCGTGCGACGATAATTTTATACCCTTTTTGGATGGATGCGTCGATCTCGGTGAGGGGCTTAAACCCTTCGTGTTTCAATACGACAAATTAAGAATAGAGAAAAAGAGACCGGTAGAGAGGGGGAGGGGAAGGTTCATTGATCCCTCGGCGATTTCGCGGAGAGAGAGAGAACAAAAAAATAGACACAACGTCGTGGCGAGAGAAGGTCGACTAGGCTAGGCGCTCGCTCGAGGGTCACTCGATCTTCGCCGGGAACGATTTTCGAATATTGAGCTGCGTCGCTAAGCTTTCACCCTTCACATAATAATCGGCGGCGTCCCTCCTCCTGGGAGAGGAGCCGTTCGCGACGCCGTTCGCGACGCCGTTCGCGACGCCATTCGCAACGCCGTTGGCGACGCCGTTCGCGACGCCGTTGGTGACGCTGCCGTTCGCCGTGCCGTTCGCGGTTCCGTTCGCGTGCTTGTCCTTCGAGTGATGCTGATCGTCCTTGGCGACACCGTTCGCCACCACCGCGTTGTTCAGCTTCCTCCAGGGTTTGTTCTGCTGATAGCTCTGCTGGTAGAATTCTTTGAACAAGAAAAGGAACATGACCGCATGTAGACCGATCCACCAAACGAACGCCTTCGGGTAGTTGCATTCGATGAAGAGCAACTGGAAGGCGTGGACCATGATGGCGATGAATTGCACCATCTGGAAGGCAGTCAGGTACTTCTTCCACCAGAGGAACGGCTGTACCTTCGGACCCATCGCCGCCAAAAGATAGTACGTGTACATCACGATGTGGACGAAGGTGTTCAACAGACCGAAGAAGGTTGAATGGCCGCCTAAAATTGGCCGACGGAAAAAATTAGCATGGAGCTCGCCGTAATTCACTCATAATTTTCTCTGACTCATCCGATTATCAGAAAGCTGATGTAAAAAATTGTTAGCTAAACGCCACGCTTTTAAAATTATTTACATCAGCTGTTGCGTAAAAATTTACGAGTTTTTGCAAAATTGAGCCAGTATCGTCACACGATGCGTTGCAATATGCATACCATTTTTCAATCACAAGTAATAGTATGTAAAAAATTTAAATTATTTTAATATATTCTACAGGAAAATAAACTCGTTTATTTTATCGTTTAAAGAAAGCTTAAAAATATTTGCATTCAAAAGAACTTGATAAGTCACTGCAAAGTAAATGTAAAAAATATTTCTATCGTTACCAGACAAACAAATTGTGAAATGGAGAAAACCAGTTTTTTATGTTTTCTCAAAAAGATTGGTCTCAGCACAAATATTATTTTCGTAACAACTGATTCGTTTGTTCATGGAGGAAGGTCTATTAACCGCCAAGAACGCATCGCCGAATGATCGCCGACGACATTGACATTAAATTAGTTTTTGCCAAGTCAGTCGAATTCTTTTTTTTTTTTTTTGCAAACGCATCAACACACGTAACGAATTGCACGAACAATTTTCCACCTACCAGGTGTGAACTTGACACCGAACCAAACCGACATGGGCATGCAACCGTGGTGGATCACATGCAGCGTGGATACATGATTATTCTTCTTCCTTAGCACGAAGAAAATCTGGAAGAAATGGGCACCCGGTTAGCTTGAGAGATGTAACAGAGAAGAGGCGCTTTTTATGATCTGCACTACGTACCGTGTCCATGAATTCGGTAAATTTCGAGAAGTAATACCACCAGCTTGCGTGGACCATCTGCGGTTTCGAAACATCGATTAGCGACGGCTTCTTAATCGCCCCTTCTTTCGCGCCTGTTCTCGAAAATGCGCGCAATCTTCTTTTCGACTTTACATTTTACTTTATGATTTCAATTCTCCAAAATTTTATCATCTCTCGAAAAATATATGACACTCTTATGGTTTCTTTCTATCTCGAAGATCAGAATTTCTTCGATCTTTGTGACACAAACGTTGGTTCTACTTTTCCGTGCAAGTAAATTACAAATTAATGTTATTTAAAGAAAAAGAAAGTAAGAGAGTATATGTGTGCGTGTTGTTTCGCTTAACGATTTTTGTAACGACAAGATGATTCTATACATATAATTATCGTACGCATACATTATAATTATCACTGTAACGTAAATAAGATAAATCATAAACATGTTAGCTGCTTTTGAAAACTTAGGTTTTTTTTTTTTTTTTTAATTTGTTTACTGAAAAGACATCGCGCATGTCACAGTGGTGTATTCGAGTCCGTACAAAAAATAAAAACCGTCGCTATTAACATCGAAATGCGTCTCATCAGTATGTATGGGTGACGGGAATTAATGTGGTGTGTTGTACGTGAATGAGAAAAACGAAGACAGAAAGAAAGAAGAACTATGGTAACTTTATAGTATGCTCCTTAACTGCGTTTATAATGTAAGAAACGCAGTGTTCTTCGTCGAAGCGTGTGCTAAATAATGTTAATTGCGCAAGCCTCTACACTAAGCTCGGTTAGAGTTGCTCTATCGTAAACTCAAATTCGCTTACTACTTCAACTATTTTTCCAACATTTATAAACATAGACTAATAATCTACGATAAAACGGAAAAATACAGAACCGGTCATAAATTCAATACAAAAAATCGACCAAATTCTTGTCAAGAAAAAAACGCAGTCCACACAAACCTGTTCTTCAAAATCATGTTTACCAATCGGAAATAAATTGATCTGCTAAGATGATAAAATAAAATTAAATTTTAAAAAATGATTAAATTAAAATAAACATGATCTAATATACGAAGTATATATGTAAAATTCACTCAACAAAAATCGCTTAGCATATAAAATGATAAAACTGCAATTCAGCTGCAAAAAATTTATTGAATTCTAGACAAAAGAAACAAAAGTATAAGATAAACGAATCAACTCTTAAAACTAATGTAATTTTTCAATCAAAATTCAATAAATAAATCTGCATTAACACAGTATTCAACGCAAATTATTCAATCGGTTGACCTTTATAAAATCATCTTTTTATAAAAATCTAAATTGACCGGCGCTGCTTGGAAAACTAAATATCATGCGAAAACAAAAAGAGATAAAATTCAGCAAGTAAAATAACTCTGTTAATCACGTAATATCACCCACCCTCAATACTTCGGGTCTGTCGCTGTAGTTTACAGGTTGACATCTTAAAGAATAGTCTCCAGTCAGCCATCCGGACATTCCTATCTGCAACCACATTCGCCCAGAGGCCATTTGTCCCGATCAGTGAAAAGGATACACAGCAGGACAGTGACAGTATACGGTATAATGTTACATAAGCTTAACTAAAATAGCTATCTACATACGCTATAAAGTATGCGTCAAAATCTACGAACATCGAGAAATATGAACGTTTTACATATTCAACAGAAAAAGAGCCGCCATTGAGAAAAAGAAATTGGCCATAAAAATCAACAATTTTGCACTGTTTTTTTGCAGTTACCGTCAATTAACAAAATAATAATTTTGCGAGTCTTTTCCAATGAAGATGCAAAATGTACAATTAACATTCGGCCGATTAACATTAAAACAACTGCGAATCATCCTCCAAAATCGTAGGAAACAAAAAATAATTCTATATACTTTTAAGCTTGAAAATCATATATACATATAAATTGATAATTAAAGATTTTTTACAATAAATAATGTATGTGATAAAAATGCAGTGTAATAAAATTAAAAAGACGAGAAGATAAGTTTGTGTCCCTTGAGACGTTCTAGTGTTAAAACTCGGCCGACGTGATTCAGTCATATATCGAAATAGCGAGTTTCAAGCGAAGGAAAAGTTCGGATTGAGATGAAAGCATACAAAGCTTTTCCACGCGTAATCGTACATCCCCGGCAATAAGCCTCCATCCGAAAGCTCGATCTTTCTACAAAATACAATATATATAATTTTTTATGAGTATTTCAATTCAGGATCCTACAGGAATGCCACAGCTCGATGATAATCTGTATCTATCCAGGCCCATACAAGATGTCCAAACCAATACATTTATGAATATATGTATGAATATATATATATATATATATATTGGCAACATTAAATAAACCGATTCAGTTCGGTGGTTTCTGTTGACGGTTGAATGGTTTCTATCGTCTCGTTGAACGGTCCAGCTAGATGCGAACGCGCTGAGCGAGCGCATTACTTACCCTTATTGCAGTGGGGCTGTTGGAATAGTCCACCGGTTGGCAGCGGAGACTATAATGGTCCCACCATCCACCCATGAGGCACTGCGTTGCGACAGAATCGTACAATCACGCTTCCACACACATCTTTTGTCATTGGCGCGTTTCCGTTCAAGGCACATCCAAAACTCGAAATACACGCGATTATTGCGGCAAGCACATTGTCACGCAATTTCTTTTTCATGGCAATTTTATTGGAAAACCCCAAAATGTATTATTGGATTATATTTTTAATATTTTTATATATTTAGAAAATTGCGCAAAAACATCTTGAATGGCGCAACAAATATTTACGAGTCCTGAAGAATTTTTGACTGTTCCTTTTCATCAAGAATTGCATAAACTCAGTCGAGAAATGCGCCAATGACAGATACATTCGTTGCAGACAATGAGACTGATAGATAATCGCGATTGTTAAGATAGAAAGTTTTCGTTAAACGCTGCTTTGCGTTCCAGTGGTTGCCGGCGCGGACACGAAGTAATCGCGGAATCGTCAGCTCGCGCAACTGCAAATAGCAGGGTGCCGTTACCCTAAGATCATTATCATCCATTTACAACGCCAAACCGATCGTGACTCAGCTCGACGATGACTTCGAAAGCCGGCAGCAAACTGACCGACGAATCTTTGAAGAAAATCAAGATAGCAGGAAGTAATAAAAATCTGATATTGCGTATCAACCGGATAATTGCGAAAATCCAAAATTTATCGTAATTGATTATCGAATAATTAAGAAATTGATAAGAGATAATCTGCAAAATTTATTGTAAAACAAAATATTATGCAATTCAAATTCTATATTATAAGTCTTAACTAAATTTTGAAGAAAATTCTCACTCCAAAATTCGCCGATTATTTCTGAAACTGAATTTTAATTTAATATGATTATCGAATAATTAAGAAATCGATAAGAGATAATCTGCAAAATTTATTGTAAAACAAAATATTATGCAATTCAAATTCTATATTATAAGTCTTAACTAAATTTTGAAAAAAATTGCTTACTCCAAAATTCACCGATTATTTCTGAAACTAAATTTTAATTTAATATTGAATTAAAATGATATAATAAATAAAATATTAAATTAGAATAAAAAATATAGACAATAAAAAAATACAGAAAAGCGAGAAATGGCTGAAACAAGATGGTAACGACTAATTTTTTGTGCCTGCAGAAAAATTCGTTTCGTTAAACAAGTCTCCTCGAATGCCTGATTCGTCGGACACTCGAGTGTCTGTATTGCGGGAGAGAAAAAGAACAGCGTTGTTAGAGCATTGATTCTCACCTCGTAGAATAGCCACGCGGAGAAGATCACCTGGAACAGGTTGTAGAATACCAAGGTGTTCTTAAGCTGGAAAGGCTTTCGATTCTCCATCACTTTCGGCCCTAGCACCTTGACGACGTAGACGTAGGAAAGACAGATGAATAACGTAGGAAACGGTGAACTCATCAACAGCCAATTAGTTGTTCTCCTGTCTGTAAAAAATGTAAAAAAACGATCCTTTGCGATTGACCTCGAAACTCCATTCTCCTCACAAAAAAATCGCAGGATTTACAACATGCGTTTCATTAATATCCTTCAATTATATTGAACAAATCGTTTGAATCTCATTTATCTTAGCGCGCAAAAAAAGATAGTTCACAGAATTATTATTCAAAAAAATCGCGCATAAGTAGTTTATGAAAGTAAAATAAGTAATCTATAAAAAAGAAATTTACAAAAAGAGCTGTTTGTGCAATTTGTAACATTAGCAAATCTGTAGGTTTAATCTATAGGTTTATAATAAATACTTGTTTTATAACACAAGTATTTATAATCTTAAATATTTATTATATTAAATCAAGAATTACAAACATAGATTTATATATCAATAAAACATAAACTGTTCATAAATCTCTCGCTTTTTTAAGCAAAAAACAAGAAGGCATTTTACGATTCAAATAACCTTATTAGCTCCTATGTTTATTACTATAATGAACTTTACATCTGTTACGAGTATGTTGATTTCGATTCTTATTGCGTCGTTTGCAATCTAGCTTCTAGTAAATTATCGTTAGAAAACATATCCTTTTCTACGTAAATTGCTACTTATGAAAATAGTATTTCTTAATCCTTCAAGTCTTGATGTAAGAAGAATTCAAAACATAATATTTGATGTACGCTTATAGCTAACACAATAATATTACAAAAGGCTAACTGCAATTCAAGTTTCTTATTAATTAGCCGTATTAATAAATAAAATTAGAAAAAATTAAAATTATAATATAACCGTGAAAAATCGATACATTTTCATCTGCGAATCGGCGTCATATTGAAATTGTTAAGAATCAAAATTTCCGCTGTGGCTAACTTTTCAGTCTTCTCTATCTGGACTCTATTGCGACCTTCTGCTCTCGTAAAGCGACCTTGTATCAGTAAAACGGCAGCCGTGATCCATGCGCGTATGTAACAATGTGCAGGTATGTTAACGCCCGCATGGCGGCTATCGCAATGGGCGTGATCCAGTGACCATGATTTAACGGCGGTAAAAATCGCACGACCGCGTGTCCTTGAGTATGGAACTCCCCGAAGGACTGCTGCGGCATTAACATGACGCGGCGTCCTTTGACGACGTCGGGATACACGCCATTCCTTTCGCGGATATAATTTCCGTCCTTCGAGGGTTCGATTACCCTTCCGGGATTTTCCACAAGGTTATTACGTACGCTCGCTACTTGCGGTGTATCGCAATTAAATCTTAATCTTTTTTAGTGCCCGATATATTATACGTATTATACACAATTTCGAAACGAAGTTAAATCATATAGTTTATTTACTCTATTTAATTGTTCATTTCTTTTTACTGAAAATTAAATCCTATTATTTATAAAGATACAATAACAAGTAATATACAGTATATAAATAAATACATTAAATTAATTGATAAAACAAATATAAAAAAAGCGTTTTATTTACACAGAAATGCATAATATAATTCTTCGAAAAAAATGAATAAAGATCTTATCTATGTCTGTAAGATAGAAAAGCCACGTTTGCACTCATTAATCAACTCTTTTTGCAATATATTGCAAATATAAAAATTAAATACTTACAAAAATAATTATTACTTGCAAGTGTAATATTTCCATAAAAGTATAGAATGCTTAATCAAAGGATACATTTGAATTTTATAAAAACGCAACTTTAGAAAAAGTGACATAAAAAGTGACTTGAAAATTACATGTTTTCCCGATCCATAAGAATTTTCATATAAAAACTAGATTTACGGAAAATTACTTGAAGCTAATTTTTACATAATTATTTTTTATCTCGCTATAATCAAGTATAATATTTATAAACCACGTTTTACGCATTGCACAACTCGTATTTCATACGTGTAAATTATCGAGAAAAAATAAATTGTTAATAATTATATCACTATGTAGCATTTGTAAACATTTCTAAGAACGATACTTTCTGCAATACTTCTTAAGATGATTGAGCAATTAACATATCGACATATGATTAAATATCATCCTCTTTGATTATAAACAATTAAAAATTTTTTTTTTAATTATTAAGATTATTAGATCGCTTTTAAATCAACTGTGTGACAACATATAATCAGGCGTTCGAGATTCCACTTAAATAATCATTTACAACAAAAAAAAAACAGCGTTTGCTACGCATTGCGACAAGCACGACGGTGTGTTATTTATACGGAATAAAGAATTACTTCACTTTATGACTCAATGTCGCCAATATATTAAACTGGTATGTCGCTGTTGCCGAAGTGGCACAGCGATAGCTTCAAAAAAACACATAGTTCTGTGACAACTGGCTGCTCTACTTCGACGCAACGCCGAGATTCACTAATGCTAATGATTGATGATGAAAAAAAAGATTCTTACAAATTGCGAAATCTTTTGCGGAAGATACGCAGTTTATTACGCGAGAACGTAGCTCTCGCGGGAGATATATGGAAGTCAGAAATATGTTAGCTCTTCAAATATCTTTTGCAAAATAAACATCTGGTATATATGCACCAATATGGGTTGTGCGAAAAGCAAACCTCGCTTGAATTTGTTAATAAAAATTTGAGAAGCTCAGACTTAATTGTCGATACGTAAAACTTTTTTGCAAACAAAATAAATATAAATTTCATATCAATGGTGATAAAAGCGTTAAAAATGAGTTAAAACGACGCAGATGTATCGTAACCGAAAAATAGACACACCAGCAAAACGTTTCGCAGAATTATCTACAAATTGTTAAACAAAAGATGAAATAATCACAACTATGTAATTGCCGCTGAAGATAAAATTTCGATAAAGACTTTTGGTAAAAGTAAAATTTGAGGAAAGGAACAAAAATTCATAAGATTAGGCTTAATCGTTGACAAGTTTTTTTTTATCAGAATAACATTGAATCATATGTAAACGTCGGTAAAAAGCGCTAACAATGAGAATAAATTAGAGAGACGCGAACGTTTTATAATTCGATGTTAACAAGACATTCCGCGGAATTATCCGAGAACTGTTAAGCGAAAGAGGAAACAATCTCAACGATGTATTACCACGTGCTATTTACCTTATTCACCCTTCTCACATTAATAATGCAAATTGCGAAGGATGCCGCGAAGCGCCTCCGTCTATCAGGCCTTTTGAAGTTATCGCGCAGCTACGTAATCGCCTATTATGACATGTGCAATGATGTCACTGCGCGCTGACGTACAGTGCGAGAACTGACTTTTCGCCGTTTATCATCATTCAGATTATTTCCGGTGCATGCGAGATATTCCTCGCGACATTTCTTCTCTCGACTATCTCACGCAAACACCACCTGCGTATATCTTATCGCCTATGTGTACTTACCCGCGTGTTTGTCCAGCATCTCGTGGAACCGGTCTATATACTGCATTATGATCGACATCGTTGCCGAAAAACTACCCTGAGGTCTACTTTGGACAAAAAATACGGAGCGAAGTCCGTATCACCCTCTCGCGGCGATCACCTCCTCTCCTCTGAAACAAGAATAAGTAGTTGTGATCAGACATGCACAACGGTTTTTTAAAGAACATATTTTAACGTAACCGTGAGTCAGTAACGGTATTCCGTCCTGCTTCAAGGATATTCGAAATCTATGAAAATAGTATCGATGTATCCTGTATCTTGTTTAAAATAAACTAAATACACAATATAATCCAATATAATTATTCAAAATATATAAAATAATTAATATTGATCTACTGTTGTCGTAAATAATATTTTTGATTATTTAATCAAGTTTAGCTACCAAGAAGCAATGTGCTATATGTCAAAAGATAAATGCAACTGATTAATAGCCAGACACTTGAATTCTGTATCTCATAATAACGCTGGTAATTTTTAAACAGAGTCTAGTGGACCCTCCGTCAAACAATCAAGATGCGGTCGTAGAATATAGTACTGAATGCTGCGAAATTTCGTTAAAATAATCCCATCCGCTCGCGCCTAAGCTCGCCGTCTCGAATTTCGAGTTTCCTCCGCGGTGACGTCGGTACGTTGTACAGCAGTCGGCGCGTGTTACAGCCACCGATTTTTTTCATACGAAAAGCGGTCATCCTCGACACAATCAGACATCGCGCAATTCACCGGACCGACCATGAATCGACACGACCTTGAACCATTATAGCAAACACGTTCCGTCCGTTCGTATCATACAACGGCGCGATTGAATTTCACTCGCGCGAAGAGGACGCGCGCCGTCGCGAATACGCAAACGAGCGGTGTACCTGCCGACACGGTCGTGCATTTCTCTTCGCGATCCTGGAATCTACTAATCCTTCTGGTTTCTTTCATGCCGATTGCTGTCGTTTGCATTGCGTTTATAACATCAACTGCGAGCCATCCAGTAAATGTAACGAAAATAGCTTGTCGGGAAATAAATTCAAAAAAATTTATTTAAAAATATAAATTGACTTTATAAATGACTGAACATTAAAATTGATAATTTATGCACACTGTCCCACTTGTTCAAGGCTATCAATTGCTCCACTTGCTACATCAGCTTGTTCGTTGTCAAAAGAAAAAAAATAAACGGTCCGATTTTTAAAAGTGTGTTGAAAAAGATGAATCACGAAAATAACGGTAAGTAATTTGAAAAATGTTATCTTAAGGCTATTTAAGATTATCTTAACGGACCAGCGTTAATTGACAATGTTATTCGCACTATGAAACACCGTAATAAAGTTTAAAATTCTTCAACCTAGTGATGTAATTATAATAGAGAACTAAGAATGTACAAAGTTCGCAAATATTTTGCATAAAAACACGAAAAAAAAACACGAAAAATACTAATTACAGTTTCCACACTTCGAAGAGAAAAGTGCAATTAATTACATTGTCAAATCATCGACGGTGTTCGTTCGTCGTCCAAACAATTCGATAACCCGTCGAATTTCATTCTTAAAAAAATATTCACGAAACACAATTAATTAACTTGAAACACAAAACAGTACCGGTCGGACGATTTCTGCTATTAATACGACTTTTGTGTAAAAAAGCAAAATTGCGCGCGCCTCGGGAGTTATAAATACATACACTTCACGCGCGATTATTGATAAAATCTACTTGAGATACGGACCTTTTAAAGTAAAGCTCACGAATCACTTGGTTCCGAAGTCTACTTCCGCTCTCTCCGGATTGCCGAGTCAGACGTAACGCGAGTGCGTGACAAAATCGGCCGGACTGATTTTAATCACACGCTGCGATTTCTCGGAGGATTGCCAACACGAGATCTGGGACCTGCGGCAGGAGAAGACACTGACGAACCGTCGAACGAATGGAGGTCGATCGCGGGGTTCTCCCGAGCGAGCGATCGAGCGAGGCGAGGTGAAGCGAGACGATCGTAATCGCGCGCGCTACTAGGTGTTTTGCCTGCTTGCAAAACGAAAAGCCGAAAACGCGCCGAGCAAGCGAAATACCTCTCGGGAATTATGTTGCGAAAACTGTATACATTATAACACACTGAGGCTCGGCACGCAGAAAACGCGGCCGCACGGGATCATGTGCGTGTCCGCTGCTGCCTTACGCTCGTTACGCAAGGAATATCGGTCGCACCTGCACAAACGTATGTGCCGCCGTCGGCAGCTCGCGTCTGTCTACCTGGAATCGTCATTTAGTTTAATCAAAAAGAGTGAGAGAGAGAGAGAGAGAGAGAGAAGAAGAAGAAGAGAAAGAGAGAAAGAGAGATGAAGAGGGGAGAAAGTGGAAGTGGGAGATATCTTTAGCAGACCTACCTATTACTAATAACGAAGATATCTCTCGCGTAACATATTACGTACGGCTCATTCCCGGTTTGAAGCAATGTGAACTTTGTTCGCCATTCGCTTTAAATATGTTTCATTTTATTTTTTGGAATTAACGAATTTTCCATAACGTAATAATTTTAATTTTGAACACTTTTCTTCAGCGTAAAATCACTCACGTCATTAATGCAATCTCATCCGATTTCACGCTGGACCAGACTTCCGATTTCCAGTTTGAAATAACATTCATTATTTATATGCTTCGACAAATTTTTTGTAGATTTTTTATATTTTACAGACTATTCGTTTCTTATGTTCGTACAATATTTTATCATTTTAATGTTTCTTCTCATTACAGTGCAGAGTAATTTCTGTTCACGCAATGCTTCTTTCGTGCGACGTCCGCGTAACGATGCATCCGATGAACCCTTTTAATGCGAGTATAATTCAGGATCTAAGGTATCCTTATCTTGAAATTAAACTGTAATTCGAGATACGAGAGCCGAAACTTGAGTCCTTTCGCGGAATAAATTCGTTCGTAGATGGTTCGTTCTTCAAGAATAAACTCGAGAATTTATTCATCTCATTTTCGTGAGATACGACGATATTTTGCCCTAAAGAACACCGCGCGCTAATGGGCCGGTATCTTTATTTAGCCTAAGGCGCGCCTGTCTGCGGCTATTTTGCGATCCAAGATAAAATCGCGGAATAATGATATACGAATTTCGCAAAGCGCTTTACATTTATCATCGCCCCAGTTAAAAAAATTTATCTTTCCGACATCGCAAAACCTTTGTGACATTAAACTTCTAATTTCTCACCGCAATCATGTTGAATTATGACGCCAAAAATTTTATAAAATTTTTTCTTATGCGTCGAAATGCGTAAATTGATTCCTTCACATTCACGTTAATTAATATAAATTAACAAAATACATCGAGATTTTCTGTTTATTTCACAGATTAAAAAAGTGAGTAAATCTAGAGCAAGTGTTATAATATCCACTTTGATACACGTGGATAAAATTACATGTAAATTTAATAATACAGAGAAAAAAAGAATATTTGACCAACTTATATTATTCGATGCGAGTAATGGTATACGAATGAAATAATCTGTGTCAACTGCAAAAAAACTTACATAATTTTTCGCTTTGATATTATAGCTCGGTATATTGCAGTAAAGAAATGTGAGTTTTAACGACCGACACTACATTAGATCATAGTATTACGTTGCGGAATTCTTCGCGAACGATTGTTCGCGTATTACAGAAGTCTGCAAGAGGTCTTTGTGCGAGTGTTTTCCTTGTGGAAAAAGCGACATCGCGACACGGCGGCAAAGTCGCCTCGACTTTATCTACTTGCGCAAATAAACGGCAGGGAGACGCTATCTGCTGGTTGCATAATGATTTTTACGATAATCACGCGGGGCAGCATAACGCAGCCCGCATCGTGCGGAGGGTTAAATCGGGATGTGATACAACAACGACGACAGTGACGACGACGATGACATCGTCACCGACGACGGTCGTTGCGCCTACTGGAACGCGTCCAATCTTACGGACGTCGATCGTGAAAGTGTCTTTTAAGCCTCGTCGTTGATACTCGGCCACGGCGTTCGACTCAGCCACGTTTAAACAGCATCGCAGAAAAGTTAACGAATATGGCTCATGCTTTGCAATAATGGATTCAAGGGCCTCGGGTCCGTCTTTGTCACTTTGTTACAATCAACCCGTTCGAACGGATTCGTTAGTCTCCTCATTGAAAATTTTACTCAACACTGCAATGAGCCGTTGAAAAACATCAGCAGCATATTATGATTGCACAATTGAAATAAATTCATGAATTGAAATTCATAAAGAACATAACTTATTAAAATAGAAAAAAAATTAATTAAATCTATAAGGTATAAGATTACTATAGTTTTTAGGGATAAAGTAATATTGGAAAATATTTTGCGGCACGTAACATTATAAATGGAATTCTATCTTCAACTCGTGTTATAGATCGTTTAATTGTTAAGAAATCCGTAGCTTTGATCTTAGACGCGTGCTCTAAATTATCGCGCTTTACGCTAAACAAAAGCAATATTTCCGTCACGTATGACTTTATCGGAATCTTTTTGCATCTGGCACAGCTTGATGCCACAGCGAGCCGAAAGTGCAAGTGTAACTATTATATACGACGCAACCAGCCGGTGCTCTTAAGTAATAGTAACTTGCGCGCTTGAGTAACGAAACGGAGAAAGATGGCAAAGACGCGGTGCAAGAAGGAAAGAGAAAGACGAGACAGACGAGAATCTGAGAGAGACAGAGAGAGAGCGAGAACGGAGAAAGGCTTATTGGTCTCCGGCATACCGTCGTCAGTTGACACTCCGAGAAATTGCGGTCGCGTGCTGTCACTGTCCAACGCGCGCGCGTCGAAGAAAAGTGCCGGATCGACGATTCTGTCTCGGATTACGGCTTTGCTATAATGAACGCAGCTGGCTCGCATGGCCTGAAACTATGAGTTCTGATTAAGCAGCATCTGCCGACGAAGCGAGCCGTGTTAATTCCGAACAACGGACTTAATTTTTCTATTCCGAAACTATTTCAAAATAATTTAGCTTCTCTCGAAAAAAATGCTTTGGAAATATCATCATCATGAAAGATTAACCTTATAAAGAAAAAAAATTGTTTTGAATTTTTTGTATATATCTATTAATTTTAATTAATATTGAAAAAATATAAATATCAATATTATGATTGATTGTAGGCACACACAGTTGCGTTATAAATCCTTTAAAGCTAATTTACAAGCATCCAAATGATGGCAATGGAAATAAACACACTGTGAGCTCATCATCAATAAAATATGAGATAATATCCTGCCAGCGTCCGACATTATTGACATATTATTTCCATGCGTCCAAGCGTCAGTAAATCGACTCGCTAAAAGCAAGTCGTAATCGCGAAGAAAGTGCGATGTAACACTGTAGTGTGTGGTGCATTTCGCTTCAAACGCACGCATGTTATCGCTCACACAAATAATCGTATGTAATTAAGACTGAAAAAAAAACAGAGCATACACTGCGTGCCAGTCGATGTCGGGGATAGAGAAACTCCACGACTGACAGGTGTCAAATCGTCGTCACCTGCGAACCTACGAACCCACGGAAAGTGCAAACGCAACTCGCAAATTCTCGCATTACGCGACAATATTGCATAACGGTTGGGATGAAGAGATCGTATGTATCCAAGATATAGTAAAAACAAAAAAAAGGAGGGGGGGAAAAGAAGAAAAGAGAAAATAAAAATCAACCGTATAAGGCGCGATGGCGAGCAGCGTGCGCCATAATCAATTTCCGGAAAAGCGAGCAGAATCGCGCGACGAGATTAGAGCGATTAAACGCGACTGAATGCGGTGACGCGGCTTTATCATGGCGTCACCAGCTCGCGGTTACATCTTAGACAACAATGTATTCCTCGTTTAGACAGGGTGTAAACATCGCGTACTTTCTCTCGGCCGCGGGCGCCGGAGGCTGAATTGAGAGGAACGCCGTTTTTCTCCGCAATGGACGCCGCCGGCGAATAAATAATCAAAGATTGAAAAACAGATGAATTTAAGTTTCAATTGTCTGAACAAATATTTAGTAAATCAATATTAAAAGAATTTTATAGAAAAATATTTTTTTCTTATTAGAACAATATTTTTCTGTGAGAAATTATGTCATCGCTGAAATATTGATTTCCAAAGAAAAGTTGTAAAAAAATAATATCTAAGATCAAGCTGTCATAAAGAACAACAATATTAAAATCAAAAAGACATAATAGAATCTTGAGAAACGTATTCATTTAAATAATTCAAAATTACAGTATATAAAAAAATATATAGTGAATATTTTAGCATGTGTTATTATCTCTTATATTATTTTCCCACAGATAGAATCAATGTTTGGAAATAAAGGGACACCGTGATTGCCGCGCGCGTGATCTCTCCTGTTATTACGAGAAATCGTCGAGATGGCACGTATCTGCAGATGAGTGGCATTTCGGTAAGGCGCCGCTTCCTCTCTCGCGCTGATCGTCGTCATGTTTTTCGCCGGTTAGATTATCGCGGCACGTAATAAAAGTACAAACACACACGTGAAATCGCGAAAAGAGCGCGCGTCGAGGTCGCCGTCACCTCAATCGGTCGTCGCGCGATGATTACAACCGCCCGGCCGATCACGCTCGAAGAGGAAAATTCAAAAACTTTGAAGAGAAGAATCGAAGTCTCTGACAATCTTTAGAAGATCATTATAAGATTATTGAATGTTATAAAAAAGTAATATATACTTTATATCAACTGTATATCAAGAAATAAAGAAAACGATAAGAGAACGTCTGACGATAAGAGGAAAGAATTATTATCACGACCACGATAAACTAATCTTTTTCTGAGTATCGCGCAAGACTATCAGATATTAAAATGTTTAATCACATATGGGTGAACGACATAATTAACGTGAGCGCGATTA